GCGGATTCGAACACACGACACTCGGACCTCTTGGGGTTCTTTTGTTTGATGCCCTTTGTTTGTAATGGATAAGTAGTACCGTAGCAATGTGGTAGTACCTCACCACAATGGGGTAGTACCTCACCACAATATGGTAGTACTTCACCACAATATGGTAGTACCTCACCACAATGGGGTAGTACCTTACCACTATGTGATTATCTCACCACAAAGCATTGGTCCCCACCCCAGTGCAATTGTACCTCAGCGGAGTAGTACCACACTGTGCACTAGTACCTCACCACAGTACTGGTAGTACCTCACCATACTGTGCACTAGTACCTCACCACACTGCACTAGTACCTCACCACAGTACTGGTAGTACCTCACCATACTGTGCACTAGTACCTTACCACACTGTACTAGTACCTCACCACAGTACTGGTAGTACCTCACCACACTGTTCTAGTACATCACCACACTGCACTAGTACATCACCACACTGCACTAGTACATCACCACACTGCACTAGTACATCACCACACTGCACTAGTACATCACCACACTGCACTAGTACATCACCACACTGCACTAGTACCTCACCACAGTACTGGTAGTACCTCACCACACTGCTCTAGTACCTCACCACACTGCACTAGTACCTCACCACAATACTGGTAGTACCTCACTACACTGCACTAATACCTCACCACAATACTGGTAACAACTGTGGTCGGTAACTTGCTTCTTGTGGCTGCAGACCAGCCAATGGCCACAAAGAACACATAAAGCCCTTTACATTAGGTATCAAACTAGAATAACACACCCAAACTATTTTCAGTGCGTCTCCTATGTTGTGATGTGTAGAATTAAATCTCTAACATAGTGTTTGAGCTTACACTCAATAAGGACTGAGCGCCACATTTATGGCACACAATAGATCTACTTTACTCATGCATTTCGTTAAGATTATCGTATGCTAACCAAACTACACACAGATCTCGCAGATAGATACAGATCTTGTCCATTCTCCCAGGAATTTGTATTGGGTTTCGTATGGTAACTCATAGACCAAACTCGCACATTGCCACAGATATAATCCATTCTTCCAGGATTTGGTATTATATTTCTAATGCAAACATCGTACCAAAAGTCGCACATTGCTGAAGATCTATTTCATTCTTTCAGTATTTTGTACTAGACTGTACGCTAACTCTAACACCCCGCATTTCGATTACATTCATCCACTTCCTGACCTTGAGAAAGTCAATGAACTCCAGCCTGCCTGGTTCGTCACAGTGGCCCGATTCAAATTGTATTTAATTGGCGACAGGAGCAGCTGCGACCTCCATTTTGTTTTTTGGCGTGCTGGCCGTAAACTAACAAGATCATCGGGCCTTTTGTCAGAAGCGGAAGTCGTTTCTTTTTGCAACATTGATTTGAGAGTTGTAACCTCTTCTACGTCCGCGCTTCCTCGGTCGAAGTTGGGCTTTGAAAATATGCGTTCACTTTCTGAACGTTGTGTTGTAACATACTTTTATTTAGTTATATCTCATCAATAAATTTTAGTAGGATAAGGACAAGGTTGATGAGTAGGGTCAAATTAAGACTTAATTATCGTTGTTCAAACATTGAACGAAACCCTTCCCTCTGGTTGTTGGAAGTTACACAACATGGTGGTGTAACATTGATATTATTAGTAACTTTGAGTCGTGGGACGAGCGGATTAGTTTTTCTGAATAAAACACTGAAGTCTGTTTCTAGTATAAATAGAGTTCGTCGTTCCTTGGTCTCCACTCTTACTGGTGTGATACCCTCATGCGAGTGCTGTTTGAACTATTGTTGTTTTTTTTTGTTTTTTTTTAACTACCCATGTATTGGTTATGTTAGTTACGATAGCTAAACCCATGATATATGTTTTACGGTCTTAAAGAATTATTTAGATATTATCATCATCATCTTTTCCTTTTGTGCCCAAGACACATGGGGCCGACAAAGAAAGCTCCCTCCCTCCACTTCTGTTGGTCTCCGATAATTTTCCTGGCAGTCCCCCATGACAGTCCTGCCTCTGCCAGCTGCTTCCCATTATTTGGCGATAAAAAAATTTCCCCAAAAAAAAAAAGTAAATTTGGCTAAACAAGAAAGTACCAGTCTGTGTTGTAAATTTAATTTCATCTGACGGAGACCTGATGCTGAAATATTGGTTTTTAAATCTTAATTTTAAAACTTACATTTTTTAAAAATTGTTTAATTTGGAAATAACTAAAAATACGAACATAATCATCATGGGTGACTAGATTATCTATATATTGCCGAATATAGTTAAATTTTTTTGGTGTTGGAATAACAAATCTTAACAGTTGAAAACTTGGCGTGTTTTGATTCACCCTCAACAGTTGCACATTCCAAGGTCGGGTATGTCGTCTGGCCGTCATCACGCAGTCACCGAAATAAACGATTTGCAGACGTGAACTGCCGCGTGTAGGTAAACCTAACAAATCCCCACTTCCGGTATGCAGTCACCCAACCTTGTTGCTATTCTTAGCATCAGTAAGTCATGTGACACTCGAACATAAATTATCCGTAAATAGAAAGCTGTAGACGTCTGCTAATGGCTTTTGAGTGGCGCAAGCAGGTTTTATGGTGCGCGACTTTCTTCAGGCTGAGATGTAACGTTTTCTCGACTTTACCGATATGCTCATTATACACGTATCACCCCTTGGTGTCGTAAATCTGAGTTTAGACGCGTTCATTGAAGAAAGTATTTTACTTGAATAACGCTAAGTACTTTGCGTCTGCTGACGTCAGTGCGAGTCACGTTTAAATAAAGTATGACAACTCATGACTCCTGTGTCATTAATTAGACATGTTAATTATCAAGCAGTCGTCTGTGTTCTCATTCGACAACCGGATGAAATTTGTTAATGAATTGCTTTTATAAGAAAAAAGTATGTACGTTAGGGTCAAACAACATGAGGTAGTTGTCAAAAAAAATCAAATCGTTTGGTATCTTTATTTCAACAGTTACACTAATCCAATCACTAATCCTAGCCTTAAATATAATCTTCACCCAACACCCAATCCGTCGGCGTGGTACGGCTAAACCCATAGTGTCAAAACATCTAACCCCAACGCAGCCACCCTTAAGCACACCCATGTGTCGGCGGGGGCCAGCCTTTGTTCTCCGCGAGGGACGATCTCTCTCGTGGATTACCTTCCTCACACTTTGACCTTTGGGAGCCGGGGGTCGAGGGTTTAGTGTGACGATCAGACTTTTCCTGCGGTCGATTTCTGCTCAGCTGTGTTCGCGTGATGGCATTTCGGGATCGAATCCGGTATAGATTGATAGCATCGTTTACTCGCGGAGTTGGCGCTGTCTGAATTGTGTGGCTGAAAACTAGAAAATTTCGGACTATTGTTTTTTTTTCTTTTTCTGCGAATATCTTTCTTTCTATTCAAATACACTACACTCGAAAAAGGCTGGATAGTACATTTTTAAGTAATGATTTCGCACTGTATTATTGGAGAAATCCGCCCTAAACCTAATCCCCGTCGTATCTTGTTATCTCGCCAAGTCTCGTATGATGTAAGTCAGGTTTCCGTGACACGAGTCTCTTGTTAACACGTCGCCACGAGCAGGTCGTGTTCTTGATCCCGCTTATCTCTTACCTCACTCACACTCGCTTATAAACACGGCCTCGCACACGCCTCGTGCACTCACGTCCAGCTGACATTATTACTTTACCCACGCCACGCCCCGCAGCTCGTGTATCCACCGAGCCCAAACTTTAAAGCTTCTTTCAACAAAGAAAAAAAAAAATGACGAGCCGCTAATGAGGGCTTTTAGTGTAAAACATGACATTTAACACATTATCAATAATTAATTAAAAGGCACGTGACAATGAGCTCATTAAGATATTACTGCCACAAACGTGTCAATATCGCATGTTTAATATATTTTTAAAAGTTCTTCCAATTTACGAATTCTTTGCACCGCACACAAATAAGCTACAGGGTTATCACTGCTTCTCTCCCCTTGCCAACCAACCTACCCCAATAATCGCGTTTCAGACATCTAATCTTGAAACTGGAGTAAGTCTATTAAAAGACACGTGACTCAGTGACACTGGGAATAAATATACAAATACCCTCGCCACCAGGCTCGGCTTATGACTTTCTCCTGTACCAGATCCTTTTTTATAGTGCTCGGGCTTTCTGCCTCCATTTTTCTGGCACTGAAGATTGTCTTGTGGGCGTTGGCTGTGGTTTTGGCGGTTTAAAATTTTGCCGAAGGTTAAGTTTTCGCCGAAGGTTGAGATTTAAGTAAGCTTTGATTTATAAAAGGCGTTTACTTAAATTGTCGTACTCCAACTCCTGATCTTTCAAACTAAGATAACCGTCTGAAATATAAAATTAACCCTTACTGGTATCAGCCTGGACTGAGGTCAATTTGGCATCATAAAATATAACAGGATTTACCAGCTGATCTTGTTCCCGCCCCTCTCTAGAAAAGCTCACTTCCGGGAAAATGTATCCCCATACATCCACATAAAGTCCATTTTCAGTAAATGAAAAAAAATTCCACCCAGCGGTATCCGAACTCGAGTCTTTTCGGGTTAGGAATCATGCTGTCTACTGCCTGACAACGTTAGCAATATCAGGGTTATGTATTTTATTCTTCCATCTGTGTGTTGTCGACGTGTACTAAAATCAGAGTTATAATGTCTTTCTTTCCTCCAACAGTGTGGTGTTGACGTGTACTAAAATCGATGTTGTAATGTCTTTCTTTCCAGTAGTGTGGTGTTTGCCTGTACTAATATCCGGGTTGTAATGTCTTTCTTTCTTTCCTCCAACACTGTGGGGTTGACGTGTATTAAAATCCGGGTTGTAATGTCTTTCTTTCCTCCAACAGTGTGGGGTTGACGTGTACTAAAATCCGGGTTGTAATGTCTCTCTTTCCTCCAACAGTGTTGGGTTTGCCTGTACTAAAATCAGGGTTGTAATGTCTTTCTTTCCAACAGTGTGGGGTTGACGTGAACAAGCCGGACTCGTACGACCAGACGGCACTGGACGTGGTCAACAAGTTCTCCTCGTCCCACGCAGCCAAGGATCTCAAGCACCTTCTCAAAGGTCAGTGGTGTCCGTCACATGTCCAGATGTTACTGACCTCGTGTGTTTTATGTAGTTTGTTTTGGTGTCATAACGTTCGATAAATCAACGAGCCCTTGGTTGAGGGTACTAGTGAGGGCAAAATATGTTCTAGTACTGATTCCACTTAATTCTCTATTACTGATATAGTTAGTGTTAACGATCTTGGCATAGTCATAAGCATTATTTTTACTTTATTCTTTAAATGTCAGCTTACCACTTTCATTGGCACCGGTTTTTTATACACTCTAAAGTGACACTCCAAAATCTAATAGGCAACCCTTATCAAAGCGTTATCAAGCTACAGTAGTACCCCAAACCAAAGCGGCGCCCTGAACCCAAGTGGCACCCCAAACCAAAGTGACACCCCAAACCCAAGTGGCACCCCCTTCCAGAGTGGCACCCCATTCTAAAGTGGCACCCAGCCCCATTCAACACCCCAAGCCCACCATTCACAGCCTGAGCGAATGGGTCAGTCGCTGTCCACTAAAACTAATTATCTGCCGTACATCGTTTCCCTTTTACCATCTGTGTGCTGGACATCGCTGTCTCATGCTAATCAGAGATAAGACCCGGTCCCTGACCCCCCAACCCCTGACCCACAGTATTTTTATCTTTACACTAGATTTACACGGTCCACTTTACACTGCGTTCACACCATCCTCTTGACCCCATCTTTACACCATCCTCTTGACCCCATCTTTACACCATCCTCTTGACCCCCATCTTTACACCATCCTCTTGACCCCATCTTTACACCATCCTCTTGACCCCATCTTTACACCATCCTCTTGACCCCCATCTTTACACCATCCTCTTGACCCCATCTTTACACAATGCTCTCATGGTCACAAACTGGACGATGCTGACCCCCCTCAATGACACCAGCATCCGAGTGTTAGCTATTACCTCAGAGAGGACCCGGGGTCTAGGGGTGCTTTTTATCTCAGATGGGATCGTCAGATGAGTCCCACGATCCCCAACTGGGATCGTCAGATGTTTCACTCTTCATCAATGGGAGATTCACAAACTCACACACGCCTCTCAAAAAAAATTAAGATTTCAAAAATTAAAGTAAATGTTTATATTTTCGAAATCTTAGGATATTTTTGTTTATGAATAATTTAAAACATTCCCGTGAATGTAATCAGATTATAACAATCTCCAACTCACGCGTCTAGTATAATTCAGTTTTTTGCACCTCCCCGTGTATTATAATTTCATTTGTTTTGTTTTTTTACAACTTCAGCAAGCGCAGTTTTATTTTACAAACGTTCACGTGAAGTTCATTGTTAAGGTTGTGCATTTTTGGAAGTAATTCTCACGATGTTGGGAATAACGCAGACTTCAAAATGTTTTAATTTAACATGTTAAAATACTTATTAAATGATCACTGGGTCGATGAAACAGGTTTTAATCAAACAATTGGTAGATTCTATTGTTATCTTTTAAAAAGTATACATTGTGTTACTTTTGATTTTATATTTATCTTTTTCTTCAACAAAAACTGGCGAAATTTAGAAACAAAATAACTAATCTTCTAGAAAGCTAACTTATGGAAGATTAAACAACAAAAGCAAAAAGCAGACATTTTGTTTTTACTTGGGTTTGTTTAAGAAAAAAAAACACCTTCCTGTGCCGGAACGAGTTATAAATTATTTCCCTTCATTAGGGATTATGGCGAGGGAAGAAACGATTTACGAGTGCCACAAAAGTCAACGTTTACAGATGGTGTTTTTTTTTGTTTTTTTTTTTTTTGCCATGGGAATGTTTGCCGCAGCTTGTGTAATTAAATTGTGTAACGTAATATTTTATGTGCGCCAATTAGCTCTGGAAGTCTGGAAGTTTTGTCAATATTTTAAGCCCTCGGTATCTGATGCAGCTTGAAGAGAAGATGAAGCGAATGCGTGAGTGAAGAAGTAGGATGTGTGTCTTCTCTTTATTTGGGGGAGAGATTCAAAGTTTAAAGGGGGAGAGGAGGGAGGGGGTCTAATTTCAAAATAAAACTTTCAAAATTTCAAAACCTGGATCATACGTTGCATGGGGGGAAGGGGAGACTATTTAGGCTCACGTGTAAAGGGATGTAATTATAGCTTAGCCCTTTTCTTGCTGCTGTTCCTTGCGGATTGTTTTATCTCTGTAATTAAAAACGCCGTGTCAAAAAAGTTTGACAGATGGATGCATATCAGAAAAAAAACTTTTTGCCTGATTGAATAGACAAAGCAGTTTGGGGGGGGGGGGGGGGAGGAGATATTTCCTGTCTTTAAAATTACATCATAATGCTTTTTTTTTTCTTCTTCTACGAACAGCCGATGCTTAATTCTATTACACGCAATATCGGGTCTAGTTTCGCTTCCCCTGTCCCTCATTTTTTTTGTCGTGTTTCTTGTACCATCAGATTAGGTATCAAAACAATCAATGATTGATCTCAATAAGTTGATTGATTGAAATCCCATGTTGCGAGATAAGGAAGGGGGGGGGGGGGGTCATGTCAGTTCAAGGTCATGTTTCATTCGCTCGCACAACATTACTCATTCGGCGTGCACACGGGCAGACGTTTTATGAAATATTTGATGGAAGCCCTCGGGATTTTCTGACTCGTGGGTAAAGCTCGGCATGTACGTGCTGTGTTGGGGTACGATTTAAATTTTAACGCGGCGTTTCTGAATGGGATGCTCGTGGCTTTCTGGAGATCACCATAGAGTTATGGTAAAGTTTGGATTTATGGTTAGAGTTATGTTTATATTACCTAGATCTCTGCGTATGTTTAGATTTATGGTTTGGCGTTCGTTTGGGTTATTAACTAGAGTTTTAGTTTGGTTTAGATTTTCGGCTAGAGTCGGGTTTATGTTAAGATTTATGGGTTATGGGTTATGGGTTAGAATTTGGATTAGGTTTGTACTTATTGATAGGGTTGGTTTAGGTTAAGATTAAGATTAATGGCTGCAGATATTGCTAGATTAACTACGGTTAACTACGAAACAAATATCACGCGTTGCTTTTTAAAAACATTGACAAGGCTCATTAGCTTAACCATTTCGGGTAGCTTTTTTTAAAAACTCCCACATAAAAGGAGATAATTACATTAATTATTAGCCACGCTTGATTAACTTAATTATATCGACATGCTACTTATTACCGCCTTTGTGTTTGTTTTTACTAATTATATTATTGAACGATTACTCTCCTTCCCAGTTAGTTTCGTTCCTAGAAAACATTGTTCAATCCAGGACCGTCTGCATAATCAAAGAGTTGAACAATATTCACGTTATGCACCTTACAGTGATGTTTCAGATGGCTCCGTTTAAGCTGGTTCTCTGAAGCATTTCACCCCTCGGGTGGGCCTCGTTCAGTACTGTACTCGTACACCAGTGTCACCCCTGACTCGTCTAACCTTCACTAGTAACTTCTCCCTTCTGTTGTCGAGCCTGTCTTATTTTTTATAATGGAGACTCGCTGCTTTCACGCCCAATCTCATCACGTGATCTATTTTAAACTTATTCTAGTCAATTCCATGTCCGCATTTCTCGATCGTTGTATGTAGGTTGTATAATTATTTATCACATACTAAATTTAATTTTAATGCATATGCTGTATTTCGTTACAAGAAGTTTGTTAAATGAGTTTTTTTTTTAGATACATGTCGTGTAAAAAGTTACTGTTTCGGACCTGACCGTCAGTAGGGTAGATGAAGTAGAGTTCACCTTTTTGCAAAAGAAGAAAACCTACCCTGTAAATAATCTGATTCCGCAAGTACACATCTCTCCCATCACCCCCCCCCCCCCCCCTTCTAAGTGTCTTCATCCAGCACGTCACACTTGACCGGTTTTTATAAACACCAAACTTTGAATTATTTTATTTAAAAATTTGACAGCCGAAAATCATCCGCGTTAAAACCTTTTGTCTGGGCACCGCGAGAAACGTCACGAGGCGGAGCGGAGGGCCTTTATTGTCCGTCTGATTTCATGCACTCGACATTCCTCGGGACTCCACCGCACTTTTCTTGTATCTCTTCAGTGACTCGCATTTTTTTATCGGGAATTCTTTCAACATCTCCCATTTCCGTTCTCTTTACATAATAGAAAGAAAATATCGTCGTGTTTGGTAAGAAAATATACTCATGTCATTGTCGGGTCTCATTTTTTTTTCTGTCGAGTTGACATTATTTTATAACCACGTGATGCCGGGGTTCATTAGGTGCTGAACATTTACGGAATTATTCAGTTCATGTGTACTTTTCTAAACGGGTAAGTTTACTTTTAGGTTTTGTTTGGCCAGTACTAACAATCGGATTCTGTCCCCTTGTGAAATAGGGTTAATTTTTTGTTACAAAATTTGTTAACTAAATTAACAATAGGGGAGGGAGATTGAGTGTCAGTATTTCGATATTTTTCGTCATTGTTTAGATTGTAACTTACTCGTGACGTACGTCTTACACTAAATAATACATCGACCAAGATAACTAAATTCGATACCATAGGTCAACTAGTATTATTAAAGGACGCGAGACTTTGAATAATGTGATCGCATGACATGTGCCTATACCTACACGTACACGCACATACATACAGATTTTCTTCCAGGCCACTCTTCGGGGGGAGCAAGCCCCCCCCCCCCCCCCCCGAACGAAATTGAATTTTATATAGAAAACATACTTTTACCAGTGTCCGCCCCCCCCCCCCCCCCAGAGAAAAAAGTCTGGAAGAAACACTACAAACATACACATACACTCATACATATAGTAAATATATACCCTCTGACTTGCCACGAGGCGTCGAGCGCCCGTGACAACGTGTGGTGGTGGCTGTTGAAGTTGATGTCAAGTGGTCCCGTCTCCCCGGGGTTTCAAGGCCCTCGCGTCGTCTGCTAAAATTTATTCCAGACGGTTATTAAATTCACCGTGACCAGTTTACTAATGGTGGGAGTGTTTGAGTCGGCCCTTGAACGTCCGCGGGTTTAAATCCGTCTGGACTGAAGTGACA